TATGCTGATTCGTGATGTATTTAGTAATTTGGATTAGGCTATTAAATTAATCCCATACTATTTGGTTTGCTTCAACGATTCTTTGTTGTTCTTAGTGGCATTATTTTTTGTTTTAATGTTAACAAAGATATAGCGCTGTGATTCATAACGCTATAATCCAATTATTTTGTCCATTTTTAAAATTTGTATATGTTCAGTAATTTCTTTTTTGTTTTACGTTTTTCGCAATCATGGTTCGAAATACTAATAATTCAAGTGAAACTGAACTTTCAAAGCGAAAGTGTTTTTCATTTTAAACAATTTAACCTTTAGGGAGTTATGCTTCTCTAGATATATATATATATATATCTTTTTGTTATATGTTGATTTGATTCTGGTTTCTGACTACATTATTTGTTTATTTTATCATGTTCTCTAATTTGCTTGGGACTGTAACATAGGAATGAAGATTAAGACTGATACACCATTGGCGAAGAAGGCATGGAGTTTTTGCTGATGAACCATCCACTGGATTGCCCAATCTGTGATCAGGGTGGAGAATGTGATCTCCAGGATCAGTCTATGGCATTTGGATCTGATCGTGGCCGTTTTACTGAAATGAAGAGATCTGTTGTCGACAAGAACCTTGGTCCTTTGGTGAAGACTGTCATGACTCGGTGCATTCAGTGTACAAGGTATAAATTTTAAGATGTTAAGATTTGAATCCAGACTTTGACTGCTTCCACTTGAATGGTAGTTCACTAATATTGCTGATATTGCTTGTTTATATCCTCACCACCATTTTAATCATGTGTTGCCCTGTACTTGGAATGGTTTGTATCAGATTGTCATTAAGTTGGCCTATATAATATCTAGTGTGAATTTTGCTTTACTTCACTATGGAAGACTGATGCCGTTATTCCATATTTACACATTTCAATCTAAGTTCTAAACATTTGCTCACAAAATTATGCCCTTTCTGAAGTCAAATGCTTAGCGGCAAGAAACACCTCAATGAAGCCAAAAGAAGCTTTGTTTGGATTCTGTGGTTCATAAATAGATCTTTCAAGGCCTCTTTAGCGTTCTTTCTTTTTTGAGTATTGAGCTAATGTTGCATCTTCTTTAAGCCGTTTTTTGGCAAATGCCTTATGATCTTTTAAGGGTTTGTTTGTTTAAGAAATATCCATAAGCAATTTTCTTCTTGTTCTATGTTCCGTAAGTCAGAGTTTGAGGCAACTAATTTTGTGTGGTCTCATCAGGTGTGTCAGATTTGCAACAGAAGTTGCTGGAACTCAGGATCTTGGCATGTTAGGTCGTGGTAGTGGAGAAGAAATTGGGACTTATGTTGAAAAGCTTATGACAAGTGAACTTTCTGGAAATGTAATTGATATCTGCCCTGTTGGAGCCCTTACCTCTAAACCCTTTGCATTTAAGGCCTGAAACTGGGAGTTGAAAGGAACAGAGACCATTAATGTGACTGATGCGGTTGGATCCAACATTCGGATTGATAGCAGAGGTCCTGAGGTTATGCGTATCCTTCCACGTTTAAATGAGGTAAGTGTAAATTGTCATAAACCGCTTATGGTACAATCGATTCTACAAATCTTTTATCTGAAGCCCATGAAACAATGAACTATATGTTGACTGCTTTTGCTCTAGTTAAATTGTTTTGATCTTATCACTTCAGTAACTCTGACCTGTATTCTTTCTGTTATGAAAAGCAGCCTCTATATTAGTTCTTGAAAAGCTGTGACACATGATTTAAGATCACTTATTCTAGACTTAAATTGTCAATGTGATTATTGTGGCATATGTAACAACACAATTCTGATATCATTCTGTATATTTTTCCACTGTAATTTCTAGTTAGATATATCTTCTTTTTTTAGTTGTGATTAGTGATAAATAAAAGTATGGTATGGACTGCATGGGATAGATTTAATACTGCCCTGTTGTTGTCTGATAATTGCATTTGTTCGGACGATCTCTTGTTAAAATTTTGGCCCTCATCCCTACACCCCCTAAAAGATCGTGAAAATTGTGAATTTTGGACTTCTCTATTAGGGTTTGTTTCTTTAAGGTAAAAATGATTAAATGGTCTCTTTCAATTTGTGCAAGTTCCAGAGAAACTAAAGTTTCTTTTCATAAATTACTGAGCTTCAATTTTTAAAATTTGAAGGAAATTGTACTTTGAAACTGGTCACAGTTTCCTACTGATGTTTTCTTTTTTTATCCGAGTAACATTCATTAATGATTGAAATGTTTTTGATTATCAATAAAAAGTTGAAAAAAGATAAGAAAAAGTTTCTTAATGTTCTATTTGCCCGTCTAACTTGACAAGATAAGTAACTTTTTCTTGTGTCATTGACGTTTTAGGATATAAATGAAGAATGGATATCAGATAAAACTCGCTTCTGTTATGATGGACTGAAGAGACAGAGGCTAAATGACCCCGTGATTCGTGATGCTAATGGTCGCTTTAAGGCGGTGAGCTGGCGTGATGTATTGGCTATTGTTGCCGAGGTTGCCCTTAAGGTTAAACCAGATGAAATTGTTGGGGTTGCTTGTAAACTTTCCGATGCTGAATCCATGATGGCCCTGAAAGATTTGTTAAACAACATGGAGTCAAACAATGTGTGGTGTGAAGGAACTGGTACCAGCCCTAATGCTGACCTAAGATATAGATATCTCATGAATAGCAGTATTTCTGGGCTTGAGCAGGCTGATTTATTCCTTTTGGTTGGTACCCAGGTAATGCTCTAGCAACCCAAATTCTCATGTTCTGTACTTCTTTCATGTACCCTGTCACAATGTCTTTTATCCACATTTGCTGTGCATAGTTAGCAATTACTTAACTGAATCCCTCCCATGATAAGTGTTGCATTTTTCTTCTAAATTGAATAAACATTCTTGGATGCACACTGCTGCCGGATTGCTTCATTCTTTGAATTATTTCTGTTGAGAACAAAAAATCTACTAGTTACACCGAAGGTATAAGAGAATGAAAATACTGCTATCAATAGGGCCCGGGATTCTAAGCACCAAGTAAAGAAAAAAAAGATACTGTTGTGAGAACAATAAAATGTGTGGATGGATTGGATTTTAAATATAGCAAGTATATAGTATAATTATCATATAATTTCATGTTACCCTTCAGCCTAATAATCATATATTCCATGTTAATTTTCAGCCAAGGGTTGAAGCCGCCATGGTAAATGCCAGAATTCGTAAGACAGTTCGGGCATCAAATGCTAAAGTGGGCTACATTGGTCCTCCAACAGACTTCAAAGCATCTTGGCACTGGCCCTCAAACAATTCTTGAGATTGCTGAGGGACGTCATCCTTTTTCTTCGGCCATCTCAAATGCTAAAAATCCAGCTATCTTTGTCGGTGCTGGGCTATTTGAGAGGGACGACAAAGATGCAATTTTCGCTGCTGTTGAAGCCATTGCAAAGAAGGGGAATGTCATCAGACCTGAATGGAACGGATTCAAATGTTTTACTTCTCAATGCTTCCCAGGCTGCAGCCCTCGACCTTGGACTTGTTCCAGAATCCAGCAACAGCATCGAGTCTGCAAAATTCTTGTATCTAATGGGTGCTGATGATGTGAACTTGGACAAAGTTCAGGCTGATGCTTTCGTGGTGTACCAGGGGCACCATGGGGACCGTAGTGTCTATCGTGCCAATGTAATTCTTCCTTCAGCAGCATTCAGCGAGAAGGAGGGCACGTATGAAAATACAGAAGGGTGCACTCAGCAAACATTGCCTGCAGTACCTACAGTGGGTGATGCTAGGGATGATTGGAAGATCATTCGAGCTCTCTCTGAGGTTGCAGGATTTCGTTTACCTTATGATACATTATCAGCCATACGATCCAGGATGAGCACTGTGGCACCAAACCTACTCCGTGCTGATGAGATAGAGCCAGCTGCTTTTGGACCGTCATTGAGCCCCGACTGCACACAGAAGGTAGAGTCGACACCATTCAAGGCTGCTGTTGAGAATTTCTACATGACTGATTCTATTACTAGGGCATCAAAGATAATGGCACAATGCAGCGCAATGCTGCTAAAGAAGTGAGTGGGTGGACTTCAGTCTTTTAATAAACTGGAGATCAACTATTTTTGCCTTAAGCAGTGTACTGGCTTAGCTTCTTGAACATATGTGAATAAAGGGAATTGAAGTCCTTGGGTAGCATGGATAAGATTTGCATTGTAAGACGCGTTTTTTTCCAAATTCACACTCCCTACAAGTGTTATTTTTTATATGATTATGACGACAGAATCGATTCACCTTGTTTTTCTCACATGTATTTAAAAACATTTATGATTTATTTTTATTATCATCCCGCCCATGGAAATATTCAGTATTTAACATTCTTGATTATAGTAAAAAAAATTTATATTTTCTAGTATTAGGTAAAATGTAAATTAATAAATGTTATTTTTTAAGTTTTTTAATAATAATAATAATTAATTTTATTGAATAAATAAATTGAAAATATATCCAAAGTTCATATTTTCAAGATAATAAAAAGAATATACAAAATATAAAGTAGATTAATTACATTAATTAGTCATTTTATCTGAAATTATCAAACAACAAAATCAACCTAATTATTGAATAATAAAAACAATAGGAGGAAAATTTTTAAGATACAAATAAATAATATTATCTATCATGAGATTTAAGAACCATAAATCTTAACATAATAATAAAATATGCAGTACAACACGATAACAATTTATTTTATTATAATTCACAATATAAATAAATTAATAAAATAACTAAATAAACATAAGATGGCATAAAGATTAGGGACGCACTAGACTAGTTCCGCGGTTTTCATTTGTTTTTTTTTTTTTTTTGGCCTAGGGCATTAAGTTTTTGAATAGAGAAATGAAGAAAACCAAGTGGATGGCCTTCGTTTTTGACTAATTTGTCTTGTTTACTTGGTGAACAAGTCTGGAATATTTCCCATAGCCTTCGTTTTTGGAAAACAAAGCATGAGCGGTTGATATATGGCTTTCCAAGTCGGAAAAGCTCGCAAGAAGTATAAAGTCTTTTACCCTACGCTCTACGCCCTCGAATCGGAAAACAAAGATGCCAAACTCTTCAACTGTGTTCAGGTTCTTCCTTACCCACCCTTTTGCATGCCTTTAGTTTCCTCATAAGTTGATAACCTGGAATTGTACGTACTTCCTTGCAGAGAGGGCACCAGAACTCGCTGGAGCTGATGCCCATGTTCTTCGTGTTGCTGATATTGGGAGGGATGGGCTATCCTTGCGTTTCCGCTGCTCTCGGCCTTGTTTATATCGTATCCCGTTATTTCTACTTCACCGGCTATGCCACCGGCGATCCCAAGAACCGTCTCACTCTTGGGTATTTCTTTTCTTTAACCAACGTTGATTCCATGTAAAAAAAAGAAAAGGAAAAGAATGGCCTATTGATAAAAGTTCATCGATATGATTTTGCAGGAGATTTGGGTCCTTGGCATTGTTGGGGCTCATGATCTGCACCGTTTCGTTTGGGATCAATCTGCTTCGACCATGATAATGGACTTTGCATAAACATCTCCCCCTTTGGTTTAACAATTTAATAAGTTCCTTTAGTGTATGCAGGCTTTGATGGGTTTTGGGTGTTCAATTTAGTCCCTTTTTTACTTCAATGTTATTGTCTATGCATCCTTTTTATGCCATATTAATAAATATTTTTTTATTTAATAGACATATCTAATAAGATAATGATGTATGTCATTACTCCATTAATAAAAAAACAATTAAAATATGAATTACAAATAAAAAAGGACCCCATCAACCAACTATTGAAAAAGAGATTTGATATTTAACCATTGCATTAAATTATAAAAGTTATAATGTTGATAACATTTAAAATGTTTTATAAGTTTCATTATAATTAATATATGTATATATATTAACCAAATTTAATTTAAATATTAATTTCATTAACAATTTGGGTTCAAGTGACAATTTATAAAAAAAGTTAAATATATATAGTGGTTAAAGTGAAAATTAAAATTTTATCAACAAAGAATAAGTTTTAACTTGTTCCTAATATATATATATATATATATAATTGTTGTTGTTGTTCTTAGAGGTCACGGCTTCAAGCACCAGTAATTATAGTAAGATGATTGAGCGTACATTGTGAAATTATTAAGATTATTTAGAACAGATACTACTTTATAATCACTTTAGTTTAATAAAAAAATTAATTAAGAATTTATAAAAATATTTCTTAATATTAATTAATATTAAAAAAGAAAGTAATTGCACAGTGATTTAGAGTGGTTCAACTTTCTCAATCAAAGTCTACGTCCACTACCATAGCTATCCACACTAAGGATTTTCCAACAAATTCACTAATTGTTCTTTCTTTTGAGGCCAAGAGATAACTTACAACACCCTCAAGAATATACCCCAATTCTTGAGAACACTCTTTCCCAAAGAGAATATTACAAATTTGCAAACTTATAAGGAAAACCTCACAAGGTAAGATGTTTGCACAATTCTAGAACAAGAAATGAACACTCACAAATAATTACAAATGAGCACAAATGGCGTTCTTTGAAAGCAAAATGAATATTGAAAGGAAAATTGGCTTGATTTGCACAAACTTGGTGTTTGATGCTTTCTCTCTTGTTTCTCTATGATTTCTAATTGCTTGATGTTTCTTGTTATTATTGATCAATGGCTTCTAAGCTTGCTTAAATACACCTTGAATCACTTCTGAACGTTGGGGATAATTAGAGAAAATAATATAGCCGTTTTAGTGTGAAAAAAATTAATAAAACAATTTGGAGCGTGGGGGGAATCGGTACCCCCTATGGGGAATCGGTTCCCTAAGTGTAAAATTCAAATATTTCGACCGTTATACAAGGGGGGAATCGGTACCCCCTGGGGGGGAATCGGTTCCCTCCGAGCATACTGGAATTATCGGAGCCAAACCATTCAAGGGGGAATCGGTACCCCCTTGGGGGGGAATCGGTTCCCTCTGAGCAATCTGGAATTTTTGGCTTTGAAATGGTTCGAAATACTTTGTAAAATTATTTTGAAATTGTTTTTAAGATTAAAACTTAATTTTACACTTTGAGTAAGGATTAAAAATGATCTTTGAAAGATTTGGAGTAATGTTTTGATATTCGAATAATTCTATCGAATATACTTAGAAAATCATTTGGAAAATCTTAAAATTCATTTAACTTAATTTGTTATATCGAAATATCAAAATGTTTTCAACAATCTCCCCCTTTTGGATATAACAAAACATTTTAGTAATTTTAAGATTTTGAAATCAAGTTTTGAAATTACTCCCCCTTACTTTAACACTTCTCCCATTTATCATTTAAAAACACTTTAACACTTCTCCCCCTTTTTGTTAAATCAAAAAGACATTTTAAAGAATTTAAACAAGGTTTTGAAATCATTTAGCCAATTGATTATATAAATAGCTGCTAAGATCACAAGCAAGAGAAACGTTAGCCATTAGTTTCATAATCAATATTCATAATTAATGTAAAATGGCAAAATTGGTCATATATCTAATCATGAAGTAAATGATGCAATAATAAATAAATTTAATCACACCAAATAGATAATTTCTAACCATTCATAAATCCAAACAAATTCAAAGTCAATCAATCCACAAATTCAAACATTCCAAAATATTCAAAATGTTAAAACAATAAGTTTGGAGTTCAAAGCAAAAACATTGAATCACATATCCGGATCAGGAGGAGGAAAACGAGCTCGCATAGCGGCCATTTCGTTAGTGAGGTCATTAATACGTGCGTTGGTTGCTTCATTATTTGCACGCATTTCCCGAAGAATTTCTAATTGTTGAGCTCCCATTGTGGATAAATGGGACTCTATAGAAGTAAAGCGCGAATCCATAGTAGCGTATCGAAAATCGAATGTCTCCATAAAGGATTGGAAATATGGAGGCATTAGATGCGTTTGTTGTGCTTGCTCTTCGGGCTGCTCCTCGGGCTGCTCAGGCTCATCTTCGGCTTCATCGATGTCTCGCATTAATTTCTCAAGCTCGAGATCTTCGTCAGCTTCGGATGGAGCTTGTGAAGAACTAGCTCCCGGAGTATTTGCAGAAGATCGAACCCATTCACCGGTTTCCTTATCCTTAATCCATCCCGCTCTCGTTAAGGAAAGAAGGTTAATTTATTTCTTTAGGGGGAAAACAACATCTAAACCGACTCTAAGCCCAGCTTTGGAAAACAGATTACTCAAAATGCAACCATAAACAAGAGATGAACAGAGTTTTTTGTTAGGAACAAGATTTACGGTTTCAACAATTTCAACAAAAATAATCTGAGGTAGGTTGATTTTAATATTATTTTCGAAACAATGTAACCACCAAAGATCTAAGGCTCTAAGAGTAGAATAACGACCTCCGGATAGTCGAAACCACCAAGAAATCATTAGATGAAGAAAACGTTCATGAAGGTCTAGGACACTTGCACTATCCCTTCTTTTATAACGAGATCCTAAAACCTATTTTTTATTTGAAATACCATCATTATCTAATCCGAATGTATTGGCTATGTAAGCCGAGTCAATATATAAGAATTGTCCTAGAAGGTAGGAACGAATTCCTATGGTTTCGGTTTCAGTTTGGTTTTTAACACAAACGGCATTAGAATAGAAAATACGAACAAGTTGATGGTAAACGATGTGTTCAAGGTCAAAGAGTTTATCAAATTTCCACTCTTGTAAAAGAGGAAGATATTTAAAATTGATAGCTAACATAGCTTGACGAGAAGGAATACGTTCTTCCCGAATTTTGTAAGAGTCGAAATATTGATAATACCAAAAACGATGATTTCTAGGACTAGGATGATCGAAACACGAATTTTGGATAGTCAAATTAGGATCAATAGGATTAGGATTAGAAATTGGAATAGGTGGAGATTTGGAGGTGGATTTGGTTGACGGTGTGAACGACTAGATGAAGACCTAGCACGTTTAGGATTGAACATGGTTTAGGAAATCGGAATAGAATTGATAACCTGCAATTTAGAAAACACATGTATGCAATTCAATCAATCCCAAAACTCAATTGAGTCCTCAATATTTCAAGGTTCTCTAAATCAATCCTAATGGGAAACGTTTTTGAAAAACTTTTAAAAAATATGGTTTTGAGAAACAATATATGTATAGTTTTCATAATAACAACATAATTTAATCAAAACACAATAATTTGAAAATTAATAATTTTTTTTATTTAGAAAATTTTAAAAAAAATCTTGTGTTTTTGATGAAATTAGTTGTAATATCTAGTTTCTAATCACTAAATAATCAATGTCCGATCAAAAATTCAACCTAGAACTAACTAAAACTAGTTCTATGTTCATAAATTGATAAAAAGAAGTTTTGGAAAAATACCTTGAATGATTTCGGATTTGAGTGAGATTAGATGAAGTTTGCACGTTTTTTATGATTCCAACAGGTTTAGAGGATGATATTTGAAGTGAATTCCGATTAAAAAAGTTGATTTGAGGCAAAAATGGAGATTTGAATGCTTAGAGGGTGAGAAACGGCTGAAGGAAGAAAATAAGAGAGGTTTGAGAAAATATTGGGTTCTGCCCGTGTTAAAACCAGAACCCTAGGGGGTATCGATTCCCCTGTGGGGGGAATCGGTTCCCCTTCAAAGGGGGAATCGGTTCCCTCAAGGGGGGATCGATTCCCTCTGCATCAAAATACTAAAATCCGATTTTAAACATCCAAAATGCTAAATTAATTTCCTCTAGTGGTATTGGCAACTCATATATTGAAAATTAATCATGTTCAAACAATTCAATTAATCTTTAAACGATATTTGAACATAAAATTAATTTTTTTCGTCAGAATCATAAACTCCCCCTAACTAATAGCAATGAACGCAAAAAAATTACTATTATAAGCATTTTTCATTTATTATTAAAAGTGTTAAAATTATTTTAAACACTCAGTGAAGATAGATTGGTCAAACCTAATTCTCTCCTAAGTGTCCAAAATCGTTCCTTGTCTAAAGGTTTTGTAAAGATATCCGCTAATTGGTGCAAAGTATCAACAAATTCTAGAACTACATCTTCCTTAGTGACATGGTCTCTAATGAAGTGATGTCTTATTTCAATGTTCTTAGTTCTAGAGTGTTGGATGGGATTTTTAGTGAGAAAAATAGCACTAGTATTTTCACACTTGATAGGAATGGTACCTACTTCAATTCCATAATCAAAAAGTTGTTGTTTTATCCATAAAACTTGTGCACAGCAACTACCAGCTGAAATGTATCCGGCTTCGGTGGTAGATAATGCAACACAATTTTGTTTCTTTGAAAACCAAGAAATTAGCATATTTCCAAGGAATTGGCAAGTACTGGAGGTGTTTTTCCTATCTAATTTGTATCCTCCATAATCTGCATCAGAAAAAGCATGCAAGCTAAAGCTAGAGTCTCTAGGATACCAAAGTCCTAAACTAGGAGTGTCTTTAAGGTATCTAAAGATTCTCTTAATAGCTAGTAAATGTGATTCTGTAGGACATGATTGAAATCTAGCACATAAGCAAACACTAAACATAATATCCGGTCTACTTGCAGTTAGATAAAGTAGAGATCCAATCATTGACCTATATAATTTAACATCTACACATTTAACTCCTTCATCTAAGTCAAGCTTTGTTGAAGAGCTCATTGGAGTGTCATGAGGTTTCCC